TAAAATAAAATGACACACAAAGAATAAAATATTATGCACAAAACAAGAAATGTAAAACTGAAATCACAGAATATTGCACTGAAATAAACTGTAGCAATATTGCAAATAACAATTACTAATCAAAAGTACTACACAACACTACATAAAAATTTCTGAAAGAAAAAAAATTTAATGGCAGCGCAATGTTACACAAGAATTATTGTAAAATGAGTCAATATTGCAATAATAAAAAAAATAACACACACAAGAAAATATAGTTTACAAAAGCAACAAAAAAAAAAATATTATCAAGGAATGAACTGATTGAACATTTTAACTCTTAACTGCAGCTTAAGCAAACACTTACTGAACAAGCAAAAGAATGATTTACTTTAAAAAGAAGGCAAAAATTGCACTAAGAGTGAATTTGTTCAATGAAATATGAAAAAAAATATTAGATGCAAAAACACAAAACAGGGAAAAGGTTTGAACACTTACAGTGATGCAGGAACAAAACACATCAATATATATACACAATACTATTAGAATTTTCTTGCAATGAAGCTTGTGGTGTGAAAAATTGGAAAATAATTGTCTTGTTTCAACAAAATAATGGCACTATTGTCTGTGGAGATAAGACAAATTAGACACTGGCTAAATGAAAAGAAGTAACACAAGAATGTTCAACACACACAAGAAAAAAAAAATAGCAAATGAATGAAAACAAAAACAACAAGAATACACAAATGCTGGGAGAAAAAAAATAACTGAGACAACACTGAGTTGTGATACAGAATATAAAGTAACAAGTTACTGAATTACTTCACTGCATAAATTACTAGGTAAGGAACACAATACTGTGAACACAAGATAATTGTGAGGTGTAAACACAAGGTTATTCTGCTTATATATTGCACACAACAAGGAAAAACATTAAAGTACTTACTTCAAGTATATATAAAAAAAAATGAACACAACACAACAGACATAAATAAAGCACGAAAATTAACACTGAAGAAAGAGAAAAAAAAAATATTGCAAACAGGATATAATGAACACTGATCAAGAGTCACTGAATGTCACTAGGAAATCAGTCAAGAAAATTGTCTCAACACTCGCAAATGTCTCTATATGATCACTGTAATGACGTTGGTGGAGAATGAGAGAGATGGTGGTGAAGGTAGGTAGAAGTTGGAGTCTGGTGGGTGGCGGCGTTCGCTGCTACCCTCAACACGTTGACGGCTCAATGAATTTGCGCTTAAATCGACGATGGATTCACACAGGAGGCTTTTATGATGGCGCACAGGGTTGAAGGAACACTCTTGTCTCTTGACCCCCTATGTGGTCCATAAAATATGGTGCTAGAACCCGTGATAAGGGTAAAAAAAAGAAGTGGTAGTGGGTGAGGTGGGTGAGTGCTTGAGGCAGCGCGGTGAGACACTGCATGGTGACTGGGCCTATGGGATGAGCGGCGTAAGTCACTCTGGGGACACCCGCACTAGGCACGAAAATATTCTAAGCCGGGCTGGCTTATAAAACCCACAAAATACTACAACACCACAGGGATGATAAAGCACTCAGAACAGCTAGAACTGGAAGCACAAAGTGACGGTGAAGACTGTACCCATGTGGCTTGCTTGAGTACTGGGTTAGTTGCTGGCTGGCTTGGCTTAACCCTTCACACAGACTGGCTTGATAACTTGTAACGATGAGCACAGCAGGGGTGGAAAGCTGGCTTAGTAGGCAAGGCTGGTATGGTGTAGAGCTGGGCTGGACTCCCCCCCCAGAGACTGGCTTGGTGGCTTGGCTTACTTTGCAAACCCAGGTCAACCCCTCGGAAGTAATGCAAATAAGCAAATAAAATGCTAATACACAGAGACTGACCAGTAAGTGAAGCAATGGGCTGGTGAAAGCTTGTTTGGGATTGTTGAGCGTCACCTGTCTCGGCAGGCCTAGCGTCACAAGATGGCGACCAGCTCAGTAGAAATTTATCTCCAGAAATCGCTGTAATTGTCAGAATTACAGGCCCTCCGCTGGCACCATTTGTCGTGGGGTTCGAAGGAGATAACAAAGATTGAAGATGAACACACTTGTTGGATGGTAACACTATATTGCAGAGTGTGAGAAAAGGGAGCCCAACCTGCCGTGTGTTGCCTGGTAGACCTATGCGCGGACTGAGAGTGAGGTGGCGCGTCCCACGCACTCATGCCGCATCCCGTGTCGTCATACAAACAGTCACTAAGCCCAGCAAAGGGGTCGTGTATGTAAAACATATGGATGGTACTATGATACACAGATAAGCTATACAACACATGTAGGGGATCAGCAACTATGCTGACATTGAAAATTTCACACATTTCCTTATCACTGTCAGTGATCTGACCTGAGTTACTCTTAAGTGGGCCTGTCTTGTCCCTAATCTTACTTCTGTATACCTGAAAGAACCCTTTTGGGTTAGTCTTCGAATCCCTTTGACCTTAGCCTCATAATCCCTTTTTGCTTTTCTTATTCCTTTTTTTATTTCTCTCTTTAATTGAATATATTAATTTCTTAACTCCCCATCACGTCTTTTGATATGCCTATACAGTATATGCCTCTCTTTTGACCCTTGAGATGTTTTAATCTATTGTTCATCCATTTGGGATCATTTTTGTTAGATCTAATTTCCCTTCTCGGAACAAAAGTTGTCTGGGCAACTAGGACTATGCTCTGAAAAATGTCATATTGGCAACCAACACCACCAACCTGACCCATAGTCAGATGATCCCAATTTAGCCCACCCAGGTAATTTCTCAGTGCCATGAAATTGGCCAAGCAGAAGTCTGGGACAGAGAGTTTATTGCAGTTATCTGGGTAATTCCGTGATATATTGAAACTAAGTGATTTGTGATCACTTTCCCCAAGCTCATCATTAACCTCAAGATTATTAATTAGTGATTCTTTGTTGGCAAGAACCAAGTCAAGCAGATTGTTTCCTCTAGTTGGTTCTGTCACAAACTGTTTTGAAAAGCAATCCTGAACCGTATCAAGAAAGTCACAAGACTCAAGATTTCCTGTCACACTGTTCTAATCAATTTGTCTAAAGTTAAAAATATCCCATTAACACAGCATTTTCATATCTAGATGCCTTATAAATTTTGTCCCATAGCAGCTTACTGCACTGTCTATCAAGATTTGGGGGCCCATAAATCACCCCCATAATTAACTTTTCACGACCCTCGAGAAACTGTAGCCAAACAGATTCTGTGTCCGATATTTCTAATCTTATATCTTGTTTAACACAACAATTTAAATTATCCCTGACATACATCGCCACTCCACCACCCTTCCTGTTGCCCCTATCAGTGTGGAATAGTTTATAACCCTGTATGCTGCATTCAGAAGGCATTTCTCTATCTTTCAAGTTGAACCAGGTCTGTGTTATTGCAATAATAGATATATTACCTGCACTTGCAAGTAATCTTAGCTCATCTATCTTATTTCTTAGACTCCTACTATTTGTATAGTAAACCTTAAGGGAGCTAGTCACTCATTGCCCTCTGCTGTCTCTCTTTGTCTGTTAATCAATTGCTTTGCCTTTACTAGCAACTTTATTTTAAATATTGCATTTTAAACATATCCCGGAGGTCTCCTGGTTATATCTGCTGTTTGCAACCCTATTACTGTAGCCTGATTATTTCTCACAGACACCCATACCTCTAGCCCACCTTTCTGCCAATAGTTGCTTATATCTCATCCTGACTTCCTCCTCCCGTAGTTTATACACTTTCACCTCTCTCTTACTTGTTGCCATTTTCCTTTTGTCCCATCTACCTCTTACTCTAACTGTAGCTATAACTAAATAATGATCCAATATATCAGTTGCCTCTCTATATCAGTTGCTCTCTCTACATGTATATCCTGAAGCCTACCCATCAACCTTTTATCCACCAATGCATAATCTAACAAACTTTCATTATGTACTATATCATGCCTTGTATACTTATCCTCTTTTTCATAAAATATGTATTATTTATTACTAAACCACTTTTTACACATAGCTCAATTAAAGGCTCCTCATTTTCATTTACCCCTGGCACCCCAAATTTACCTACTACTCCCTCCACAACATTTTTACCCACTTTAGCATTGAAATTCCCAACCACAAGTACTTTTACACTTGGTTCAAAACTCCACACACACTCACTCAACATTTCCCAAAATCTCTCTCTCTCTCTCTCTCTCTACACTTCTCTCTTCTCCAAGTGCGTAAATACTTACTATTACCCACTTTTCACATCTAACCCTTTTTTACTCCACATAGTCCTTGAATCTATATATTTATATTCCCTCTTTTCCTGCCATAGCTTATCCTTCAACATCATTGCTACTCTATCTTTTGCTCTAACTCTATTTGAAACCCCTGACCTAATCTCATTTATTTCTCCCCGCTGAAACTCTCCTACCCCCTTCTGCTTTGTTTCACTTAAAACCAGGACATCCAGCTTCTTCTTATTAATAGCATCCACAATCATCTCTTTCTTATCATTCGCACAACATCCACACACATTCAAACATCCCACTTTGACGGTTTTCTTCTTTTTCTTTTTAGTAGGCTGTATAGGAAAAGGGATTACTAGCTCATTGTTCCCGTCATTTTAGTTGACTTTTACAACACGCATGGCTTACGGAGGAAAGATTCTTATTCCACTTCCCCATGGATATAACAGGAAAAGCAATAAGAACAAGCACTATTAAGATAAAATCAAAGGAAACTCAGATGAGTGTGTATACATAAACGTATACATGTATGTGAAGCGTGACCTAAGTGTAAGTAGAAGTAGCAAGACATACCTGAAATCTTGCATGTTTATGAGACAGAAAAAATCACCAGCAGTCCTATCATTATGTAAAACAATTGCACTCTTTTGTTTTACACTCATTTAGCAAGACGGTAGTACCTCCCTGGGTGGTTGCTGTGTACCAACCTACTACTGTTGAATATTATGTGTATTAAATAAGTCCTTGATTTTTTTTCCTAGGTGGATTCTGATGAGGAAGAATATGATCCAAAAAAGCCTCAACTAAGTGGCATGGCAAGCAAGGTGGAGGTAAGAAAAAATAAATAATTAATATAATTTACTAACCCTACACCTCCAAATCTCTAAGCTATGAATTCTCTGCATAATATTCACACCACACATTTCCCTCAGACAAGACATCTCCACTGCCTCCAGCCTTCTCCTTGCTGCAACATTCACAACCCATGCTTCACACCCATATAAGAGCATTGGTGCCACTATACTCTTATACATTCCCCTCATTGCTTCCATTCATAATATTCTTTTTCTTCACAGATTCCTCAATGCACCATTTACTTTTTACTCCATGTCATTTCTGTGGTTCACCTCATCTTTCATAGACCCATCTGAATCATTCATTTCTCCATACTTCCCCCCCCCCTCTCTTGATATCCCCATTATTCCCTAATTTTCGTTACCCTCTCACCTTGTCTTTTATATGTTTGCTCTTAATTTAACTTTTTTAAGAATCTTCCAGAAGCAAAGTTTATCAGTAAAAGAAAACGTGACAACCCCTTTTCTATTTGATTCGCTATTTTATTTGAAAACCCAAAATTCTGTAAATTCAAATTGAATCTTATAGAGAATAAACTTTGACCCCTTTCCCCTTTTCAGCTTCACTTCTTTTTTTAACTCCATTATAAATATGTTGAAAACCCATGGTGGCACCGTTCCCTTTCTAAGACCACTTTTATAAAAATTTTTTTCCCCCTACATACCCAAACCTGAGCCCTCACTATTCTCATAAAAAACCTTAACAGCTTTCAGTAACCTACCCCATTTTAAAATTATAATTAATGTAGTGTATTGTCTTCCCATAAAAAGCAACATTTTTTAAAAAAAATTTTTTTAGTTTATTATTGAAATGTAACTCAGAACACTTTTTATTTCCCGTTCCCGGTCAACCTCAAACTACTTTTTTAAAATTTATTTTTCCCCATTTTTTTGGGAAAAACTATTTTGGAAGACAGATGAAATATTAATTTATAAAACTTGATTTTTTGGGTTTAACCCACATAGACCCCCTGGAGCCATCAGGCTAATAAGCCTTATTTCGAGCAATGGGATGCCCATAAGTCAGTCAAAAAGCCATGTCGGGGTCGGGAATAAATCAAAATCCCCCAAAAAAAAACTGAAGGTATGGGAAATATTAAATTTTTTGTTTTCGTGGGGTTAGTTTCTTTTGAGATTGGATTTTAAAAATTTTCCCCATCATAATATACTTTTTTTAATACTTTGTTTTACTAGTTTTGTAAATATGTTTTGATCACAGTTTTCAAAAATCAAAGAAGGGTTTTGTCATTTGTACCCCTTGCTATCTTTTTCTCTACCATAAAAATTATTCTTTGTCTTATTACTTATGGATGATTTAAATAGTTGTAGCCAAAATAGTTTACAGAAATTCTAATAGTCCCTTATGTTTAATTTAGGCTGAGTTATTTACACTGGTATAGAGAGAGAGAACAAGCTCGTCACAAAACCCTCCCTTTTCCAGGAAGAAGTTTCCCCAAAAAGGGGAAAATTAGGATACGTAAGATAGTATCCTGCCCCTAACGCAACTCGAAAAAAAAGTAAAAAAAGCAGTGAAAGAAGAAAAGATGGCAAAGTTGTTCGGAAAGGGCCCTGAAATTAAAAGACACATCTGAGATCATAAAAAAAAGGGGAATTATAATCACGTAGTCCCTCGGGAAAGATAAACATGATTGTTTTCCCAGGTAAATTTGCTTTGTTTTGAGTTTCAAAAAAGAGTGAGCTTTTTTTTTCCCTTTTAGAAATGAAATACTTAAGAGTAAGAAAACTGTTGTGAAATGTTGTAAACTTTCTATCTTTAGGATTGATTTTAAAACTATTATTTGTTTTGTTTATATACCCTTTTCGGGAACCCCTCAATTACTACTTTTAAAAGGGGAATGGGTTTTTTCCCCCTTTGAGGGTCGCAGGCCCTCTCGAAACCGTTCTCGGGGTGGGCCAATTTCAAAAAAAAAAAAAAAAATTTTTTTCTTTGAAAAAAAAGAGTTTTTTTTTTCTAAACATTATAGGTAAAAAAAAAAATTTTTTTAACGTAAATATTCCCCGAATATGGGGCGTAAAATTTGCCAAAATTGAAAAAATAGGTAACATCGCCGATGCCTCACCCGGATTTTTCTTTTTACTTTTTTATGTATTTTTTCAATTATTTTTCAATTTTTTTTTTTCTGAGTAACTTTTAGGGCCCTGGGCCAACTGACAGTATTTTTTTAAGTTATTTCTTTTTCAATCTCAAAATAAGGGCATAAACACTGTTGTCATTTTTTGTTTACAAAAATATTTACACAAAAAAACGATATAAAATGTTTTTTATTACTATTTTTCTATATTTTATATACAATAAAGCAAGGGAATGTTTTAGAAGTTCGAACCTGTGGAACCTTTTTTAAACATGGGGGTCGCACAGTGGGTTTTGCACTCCTCCCCACATAAAACGGTGTTCTCGTTGTTTTGTGCGTTTTTTTGTATGTGCACGACGTAACCCTCTTTTGAGCCTTTTTCTTTAAAGCAGTAGCAGGCAGTTTTACAGGGAAGTGATCACATGTTTAACGAGCGTAGTTGTTGATAATTTGGGGGGCGGTCAATTGCGGGGCGTTCCTGGTATTGATACTTTTGTTGATGACAGACAAACAGAATTCACCGAGGGGGTTTTTTTTTCTGGTGCTCATCTTAAAACATATTTTAAAATTGAGCATGGAAAGCCAGAAGATGAAAAAAAAAAGTTTGATGTACCACTTTTAAAATCTTGCGAACACAATCGCAACCCCAAATTTATGTCACATTTGTCATGAAAATGTTGAAGGTTGTAAACAATCACAGCGCAGGGTTTTTGAATGGGTTTATTTCTTCCTAGCGCCTGCATTTCTGCCTTTCATTAGGGTGAATTGATGAAACAGTGTGAATTTTGTTTGTATGCCACCGAAAAAGCCATGATGTCATTTGGCCCGCAAGCGCCGACCCACCTAACGAGTGCCCGCGTCAAACCGGGGATATTTTTCAATTTGAACCCTGGCCCAACATTGTTGTTCAAATGCAAAAAATCACTGAGTGGGGGCTTGTTACAGTTTTCTGTATATAATATGCCCTTCCAAGGTATGGTTCTTTATTTTTCGAACCACATACCTGAGATGCCCCAAAAAAATTCCTGGGATTTTGCAATTATCTTCCCGTTTTACAAAAATATCCCAAAACAGCCACTGTAAAAAATCACAAAGCACAAACAACTTATACCAAGCGTTTCCTCTTGTTGGGAGACGCTTGAAAGAGGTCTTCCTTTGAACAGAAACAAAAACTGTCAGTTCAAGCTCCCGAAGGGGTAAAAAGCGTCTGAATTTTTGTTTAGATAACAAACACATTCCTAAACTTATAAACCCGTCAGTCTGTAGGCCTGGGTTTTTTTGAGAATGAAACATCGTAAAAAGAGACAAATTTATTCACTGGATTATATACTGAAAGGTGTTGCAATCAGGGGGTCGTTGACCAGTTGATTTCACTTTGTGCTTATACACAGTGGCTAAGCATTATTGTGGCAAAGAAAAGATACATCCGCCCAGTTGCCTCCCTTTCCCCTGGTGTAGCTGATTTTTGGGGAAAGTAATGTGTTTGCCCGGTGTACTCTAAAATGTGTTTTTTCCATAAAACTTTTTTTTCAGTGGGTTTGTCAAAGAAAAAATCGAAAAAATTTTCCCGTTTAGTGGCATTTTCCCAAAAAGACAAGATGGCCGTATTCCCCTTTGGCTGTCATCAAACTGGTGGGGATTTGGAAAAAAATTGAACTTTCCCGCAAAACCCCGGTGCGGTCTGTGGGGGTATGGGGCAAAGCAGGGGGTTGTTGGTTGTGGAGTTGTGGTTGTGGAGGGGTGTGTGGTGGGTGAGTGGGGGTGGGGGCCCCTTTGTCTAGATCACTGAGGCGTGGGGTGGGTGGCAGCGTGGGTGGCAGATGGGGCCCCTGCTGGTGCCTCACCGCCGGCACCCTACCACCACGCCATTTTTTTCCTCCCCAAATTTCAAAAAAGTATCTTCGTCATTTTACTGTTGTTTGTTGTCGCCCGGGGAAGACCCGAGATACACCCTTTCCTTGGATAACTTGGCACACTACCCGAGCGATTTCGTCGTATATACTGACCTTCATGGGGAAATTTCATTCACTTCACCACTGGAACTGTTTGAAGGCTTTTGTTCTATTTATATCCTATTTATCCCCTGCTCTATCTGAGTTGGGATTTGGGAAAATAGAAGTTTCCCCTTGGGGCTGGAACAATGAACGTGAAAACGAGGGGCCCCCACCCGAGGTAAGGCTGAGGGTCGTTGGGTTTTCTCCTTTTTTTTACCGATTTATGGTCATTAGTTTTGGTCAAAACCCACTAAAAACCCAAACTCTCTTCACTGGCACTTCCATCATTTAGAACTGTCACTGGGGAACAAAAATGTCCAATTTTCCCAGGAGTGAGGAGCTTTTTACCCCGAGGCATGGTGGACATTGTTTAAAGAGGGCATTCCCCCAATGCACCACTGGGGGCCCCCGATTTTTTTTCAGCGCCACCGACCCGCAGACCATTTCTCACACCTAGGGTACCCCCTTTTGGGGAGATTTTAGGCCGCTAGAATTTTTGGTACTAGTACGTCAAAAACCCCTATGCGTAAGACGTACTAGTACGACCAAAACCCTCAAAGGGTTAACACATCTTAAAAAGTTAAGACCTTTCTTAACTGATTTTTAACTGAAATATATATATTCTTCTTTCAACAAACTGGCTGTATCCCACCGAGGCAGGAAAGTTTCTCTTTTTAAATTTAGTATTTTATACAGGAGAAGGGGTTACTAGCCTCTTGCTCCCAGCATTTTAGTTGCCTCTTATGACACGCATGGCTTACAGAGGAAGAATTCTGCTCCACTTCCCCGTGGAGATCAAATATATTCTTTTTCCTTTCAACAAACCGGCCATATCTCACCAAAGAAGGGTCTACCTGGAAAGTATTCTGGGGATCAACGCCCCCACGGCCCGGTCCATGACCAGGCCTCCTGGTGGATCAGGGCCTGGTCAACGAGGCTGTTACTGCTGGCTGCACACAATCCAACATATGAACCACAGCCCGACTGATCTGGCACCGACTTTAGGTGTCTGTTCAGCTCCCTCTTGAAGACAACCAGGGGTCTACTGGTAATGCTCCTTATTGCTGGTGGGAGACTGTTGAACAGTCTTGGGCCCCGGACACTTACTGTGTTTTCTCTTAGTGTACCAGTGTTACGCAGAAACGTGGGATAGCTGGGGGCTTGAGCCTTGTCTAAGGGCAAAGGTAAAAGTTACACACATCTCAAGCATAAACAGGCCACCCAGGGCTATCCCAGTCAAAACAGAAAGCGCTAAACCAGTATGTGTTACTTCAATGGGTTGGTTAACAGAGGGTTAGGCAAAAACCCCAGTTAGGAAAATATATCTATTTATTCAACATAACACTATACAC